TTATCGCTGTTTCGTTCATAAAAGTTGTTCTATCCGAGCTCGAACCCGCATATGTAAGAGCTGAGGGATTTAAGTCAAGATTTTGAAGGCGAACGGAAGATTCATACAACAAGAGGGATTTAATTCTTGTCTAAACAGATCACGACTTACCTGGGATCATATTCTCATGCGAAAACTTTTCAAGAAACTTTTCGGCGTGGAAGTTTTTCGTATAAATAAGTTTACTGAAGTCGGCGTTTGAGCAAACGGGTATATGTGCGATACAAACGCAAACCGGAGCGCTGGTAATAAACGTACCAGTTTTGTATGAAATTATTATTACTTTATATTAAATGTATGAGGCGACTGTCAATGAATCATAAATGCTGAGTTAAGTTCACATTATACTTGTCGACTATTTCTGGGACTTTTTGTCGTTTTTAGTAACAGCTTTTTGGTAGTTGATGTTTTTATAAGTATCTGTATGTATGGATTAGCCACGTTTTAAAGAGAACAAACAAAATCTAGCAGAACGAAATCAAAAAGTATTCAATGAATGAATGTAGGCCTAACCACTTTGGAGATTTGTTGAAAAAAGAGCTCCTAAAAGGTCGATTTACGGGATTAAAATTAGTATATGTATTTGCTCATGATCATTTTCAAATTTATCTAAATAACTATTAACAATCACTCTAAGAAGACTATTCGAAGCGTTCAATTTTTTTGTTCATGTGTCAAGTGTTTTTTTAACTCTGTTTTATTCAGCAATCAGAAATACATAAGGATTCCTATAAGCTAAATTGACAATATTTGAGAGCGATGTCTAAGAAGAACTCCAATGAGATCTTCTTAGTTTAACAAGTGTCAAGTTTAGTGCAAATAAACATACATGTATTGTATATTTAATACAAGTTTGTTGGTTGTTTACCTTTCTACTTACAGACCTTTTTTGCCATCTGCAATTATTTTATTTATGTTGTAAAATCTGCAATTAATATTTATGATTCAGATGATTTATTTACCATAGATTAAGACATGTACTTAGTTAGTAATTTATAAGAACTATTTGCTAGAATACTATATAAAATGGTTTAAAAGAGCTATACTTACTTTCAGTCATCATATGAAGTAGATGAATTTTTATCATTAGTATGATTTATTTATCTTACATTATGATATGTGGTAATTAGTTCACAATTTAAATATTACATTTACTTTACCTTTGGTTCTGAAATGAAATTTGTGTGATTTGTCGTATTAGTTATAATATATAAAATGTCGGTCAAATAATAGTTTATATTAGTTTTAATTACATAAAAATATACAAACAATCATTATTCATAATCCAAAATTTTCAATATTCTCATAGAGTCTAGACTATGATATAGACACTCATCAATAAGATAATAGGGCCAAATGCTTGGTGCAATAAATTTTCTTAACTCTCAAGATTATATAAATTATAGCTTTCCACATTCATATTTATACAAATATGTTAAATTAACGCAGTGAAAAAAATCGTCGATATTGTTCAACAGCATTCCAAACTTTTAAAAACATTCAAAACTAAAAAATAATATTACATATAATAATTAATAAAATTGAATAAAAAAAAAAAACAATGAAAAAATACAATATTGATTTATAAACACTTTCCATTCCGTTATAGAATTTTGTTATAATACATATGCACATATTTGTGTTATTTCTGTGCAAACAATAAATCCTATATTTTTCCTATAGAGCATAAGTTAATAATCACACACATGATTTCAGACACGTTTGCTGAGGATGATGTGATATTTGATTTCCCATTTTCCGCACCCTTTGATAGGGATAATCCCCTTATAATCTTTATCTAGCTATCTCTGACGGTGAAATCTCGTCTCTGGACTAGTGTCCGTGCTAAGAGCATTAGTATATTATTTTTATTTTTTATTGATATAAAATAATCTATAGTATGAGTTTTTTGCATATATTCTTTAATTGAAAATAATAACGTATTAATAATTATGTATTGACCGCTTACTATAAAAATATATTTACTATAACTATATCAATAATGATTTAGTGTGATCATTCCATACTATCAAATCTCAAATTTCAATGATTTTTTCCTGCCACTCCAAAATTGCTGCACATGCCTTTGCCAAAAACTAACCAGCAAGTCTACCTTCCAATAAGAATTGAACGTTTTTTAAATCATTCAAATCGAAAATGCCAAAAACATCGACTAAAAGTATCTACACGAAACACACATTTCACACGTACGTACAAACATCATTCATTTTTTCTAATGTATGCTAAGATTGGAGGTTTTGAAACGTGAAGATATGCAAAAACAATCTTTTTAGATTTCAACGCGATTATTATAATTTACCCTGCAAGAAGTTAATCAATCAAAGTATTTGAGGAATTAACACTAACAATATTTAATTTTCGTTTATGTGAGGAATTGTAATTATTATTTGTGTGAAAAATTATTGTGAAACGCTCGAAAAACTAAAATTTAATACTATCAATTACGAATTGATATGGATCTGATTTCAATGAAAAGAAAATTATTGTATTATAATAAAGTTTTACAGTATCTATGTCAAAAATGCGAGAATGAATTTTCTAAAATAAATTCTAGTTAAAATATATACGGAATAAAAACCCAGCGCATTTCATCGTTCATTATTAAAATGTATATTTTATAATCTGATATCACAGCTTATGCGGTGCTCATGCATAACGAAAAAAATTTCACTTTCAACTGCTGCGTCATCACGGGCAGTATTTTAATAAGAGCAAAAAATCGCGTCGCTTTTTTAGCCGCGCTCATGAAATGATATCGTTGTTATCATCGCAGACTTGGAATAAAAATGTCTGCGAGCAAAAAAAGGCCCAGCAATCACCATAACATATTTTGAAACGACCATTTATTTTCGTTTATTAGCCAGTAATAGGGGAAATCGGCTATGGAAAAAACTTTCTGCTACGTCTCATATAGTGCTTTCACATCTACTGGAAATCGGCAAAAAATACATAACATTGCTACATTATTTTTCAAATAATTTGAACTTTTTGGATTAAATTTAATATATAAATATAATTTGCTGTGTGCAACTTTACACTTTCTCGTAATGTATAAATAATTTGCACATATACGCATGTGAAATATTAATAGTATAATATGAAGTAACAGAAATGCTATTATTTTGTTCAAAATTTTCAAGTAACATGTATTTAAATTAAAGTATGCAATTTAAATATCTAAATTCATCTCAATTAGATTAAAATCATGTTTTATCAAATTGAGCTTTATTATCTATAACTATGATATTATTTATGATTAAATTTGTCCGTAACAATCAGAATGAAGTAAGTAAAACTATGAGCTTCAGTGAGATTAACATAATCTAAACAAACTATAATGTAAAGTAAAAATAATTACTATTATAATAATAACAAATAAATAGAAATAATAACCATAAATAAATAAATGAATAATAATAATAAATATAATAATAGAATAGAAAACTGTTCCATTGATCAGTTAACTAATAACTATGATATGTTGATGTGTTTTATGCGTAAAAAATTCAATACCAATCATTATTTTTGCCACTTTCATGGTGATATGAAACGCTTATAATAATTTACATTTAACTTACTTATTTTTAAATCACTTTTGCATCCTTTCGCATTTTGATAAATCAGTTATGCAAAGTTGTAATATATTAGAAACTGGAAATAGGGAAACTAATTATATATAATCTTTTGATAAAATTAGATACTTGAACGCACTTAATAAGCTTATAATTTACTAAATTTGATTTACAAAATAACTTGCAACTATATATAGTCAAATTACATACATCTTTTAAAATTTTAATACAATTAATACCACATATCAAACAATGTTCAGTAAAACTCCCTGCAAATTTATCATTACAGAAATGTATTTTTTACTGTTTTGCTAAAATTGAGAGATAACTCTGTTTATAATCTTTATCTGGTATTTTGTTACAAAAATTAACCAGCATAGTTGAAATAACCAAGCATCGTTGTAAAATTGCGTTTTCATACTTAATTTACCTTTTTATTTAGTACTATATATTGTTTATACCTTTGCCAAAGTAAAGGTCCAGTTGGTCCTTTTTACCCCACCCACGTGTAAGCTTTTATATAGGTTAAAAAAAACTGTTAAACCTAACTATAATTAACAATACGTCTTATATAACAATTAAATAATGTGTACTTAAAATTATATTAAGATCTAGTAAACTAAACAACAGTGCTCACCAACAAAAAACTAATAACGAAAGAAAATACTTTTGTTATAGTTTTTCTAACATTTTTGTTTATCTCTCGATAACAACGTCACAAGAATCAAAGTAATGGTTGATAACGCATCTTTTTACCTCTACTTTCAAATATTGTTGTTAAAAAATTCTTAACTGTACTTGCTTTTGAGATATCGGTGGTGGACCTTTTTCCACGCGAATCTTCAATCCCCCCGCTACCCTATTCATTGTATAAATATTTATATTGCTAATTTAGCTTCGTTGATAACGTTATTTAGCTTAACTTGATTTACTTTATCTACATTTACTAGTTTGTACAGTTATTTGCGAAAGCATAAGACGCACGATTAAACACAAAGTTTTAGGTATAAAGTGGAAACGAGCTGACTAAAAGTACTAAGAATAGTATTTGAACAGCAAAGTTTGAGTTTCTGGCATCAAGTGACAGTTTTGCCACATTTCAACCGTAATTGGATTTGGATTTTCGCATTCCACCTTATACATATATCCAGATTATATATGATGGAGGAATAGATACACACATAGACATTCGTCGCATACACTTATATACAAAAACACACAATTTTTTTCATTGCATACATTATGTCATTCAATATTAGAATTCATATCAATTAGTATATTCAAATTTCACAAAACATTTGCATACCATTATTTCTAGGACTAATGTGACAAAAAACACATCCCAATGATTCTAATTATCGATTACAGGTGGCATGGGTACGTGTGGATACTCAGACGATATTATCGATATATCACAATGTAATTACACAGAATCCAAGGATAAGCTTGTCTTACAACGACCACAGATCATGGTACCTCCACATTCGAGAAGTCACTGAGGAAGATAGGGGCTGGTACATGTGCCAAGTCAACACTGATCCTATGAGGTCAAGGAGAGGATACCTTCAAGTCGTAGGTCAGTAAAAAATTGATATGTATGTAAATATTTAGTATTTTTTTAGTATAATATAATATAATTATTAGACAATGTATATTTTGGAATTATATTAATTCTTTTACTAAAATCATCAAATCATCTGTGAAGTATGTTATACAGCAAAACTTTCCTAGTATTCAAAAAGAAAATAAGTCATGAGTAAAATTTGGAAATGAGAACTTTAACTTTAAATGAATACTTTTACTAAAATCATCAAATCATCTGTGAAGTATGTTGTACAGCAAAACTTTCCTAGTATTCAAAAAGAAAATAAGTCATGAGTAAAATTTGGAAATGAGAACTTAAACTTTAAATGAGGACTTTAACTTTTTGAACATTTAGAATAATACGTTTTCAATATTTTATTTTCTCAGTGCCACCTCAAATCATCGAATCGCAAACGAGTTCTGATCTGGTTGTTCGCGAAGGATCCAACGTGTCATTGTCTTGTAAAGCGAGAGGATATCCTGATCCTTATGTCATGTGGAGGAGGGAAGATGGAGATGAAATGTCCGTTTCAGGTGACACAGGTAAAATTAAATTGCTTTATATTTATCTATAAATATATAAATAGGTTTACAAATGAATAAAATAGAGAGTTAAAATAAGATTTATGGACAGACCAGAATAGTTAAATATTAACATCTTATATATTACTAAGATTGTGGAGATAGTTATAGATAGTGTTAGATTGTAGTGATAGATTTTAGTAGAAAGTATTGATAATGAATTATTATTGTAAGATTTTAGTTTAAAGATTAATTATTAAAGAAAATTATTGTGAATTATGAAGACTATTCTGAAGACAACACATGCAGAAAATGATAACTGTCCCTACTCTCTCATTCACACACACATATATATTTACACACACATATATATGTATATATATATAACAATTTTATAATTATCATGTAACATGATTGAGGAAGCAAGATTCTAAAAATACTATATAAGTTTCCATTGCACAATTTAATTCTAGGAATAAAATGTGAGATCTAAATGAACTTTTTAATGACATTCAAAGACAACCATTTTTTTATATTCTTGCTTATTTTATTTAAATTTAAAATTTTTACCGAAATTATATTACTACTATATAATACAATAGTCGAACAGAATTCAGTGTAAGTTATATTTTAATTTTTTGATATCATAATGGTCCCCGAGCGATTTTGTAGCTTTTGAAATCGCATTTGAAAAAAATATTGAAATGAAATTAATTGCATTTACCTATTGCACTACTTGTAACTTTTAAACGAATTTAAAAATGTGGATCAAATTACAAGTTTGGTATATTCTGATTATAAACTAGGTATAAGTAGCATTTTAAAACAAATAAAGTGCAATGACTTTCTCAATGAGAAGTCAATATATTATTTTGGTATACCAAGTTGGTGTAGGGGACAAACAAACACGTGCCAAATACAATTCGCGGTCATCAGGTACTCTATCAATTTTTAGTAAAATCTTCGAATTTTTTTAGAAATTAATTAGGAAAAAACAGCCTGACCGATCTTTGTGAGATCTTTCAAATATATATCGAATTTTCAAAATTAGTTCAGAATTCTTGGCTAAAACGTGAACAAAAATTTCTGCACTTTCTGTTAATTCTGATGAAGAGGCTTGGCCATTGGTACAAAAAACGACCAATATGAGTACTCATCAATTTTTATCTAATGGCTTTTAAATATTTGAAATCGGTTCAAACGTTTTGAAGACGATCAAAATTCGGCTCGCTCTCTCACTCTTACTTACAAACATACTCAGATTTTCTCGCAAAAACAAACCTTTGGGAAGGTAATAATAATATCAAATATATAATGCCCTCTAGCATCTACGAACACTTTAAATGCCACTCAGTAATATTTACAAAAATCAATTAGTAATTTGGCACTATATAAGCGTGTGAAATATTAAATTAACGTTGATTAACAATAACGTTGATGAACTACGCTGACAAATGATAAATTCTAATTAACAATAAGTGCATTACTTTATTACAGTAAAAATTAATTTTCCGTATTAAACTTTAAGATTTTTCTTTTTCGGCGCGTAAACTATTTATGAATATCACACATAAAATACTTTAAACTTCCCACATCCGCGTAAATTTATCAATAGAATTTGCACACATCCTCGCACACGTCTATCGCATATGCGTGTTCGTCGGACCGTGCGTGCAGATGAAAAAAGTTGAAACAGAGCGCGCCGCGCGGGTCTTAATGACGGACCACGTGATCCGAATTCCGGAATTTTTTCCCAGCTAGAAGTTTCGGTTCGTTCATTGCGTTTGCCGCTTTTATTTTTATTTTTTCCGATCGCTCTCCGGCGGCGCTGCGTCAAACTTTATCGGATTTCTTTTTTGGTCCGCCAGAAGCACTCTCTCTCTTCATCAGCCCGCATGATTTTAACATTTACCGCACGTTTTTTTCGTATCTGGCCGGGCGCCTGTGTTGGTACGCGTTCGCACATTCGCGAGGAAGTTTGATGGAACTCGTGCCTTTGAATGACATATGCGAATATCTGTTAATTTAATTTAAATCGGAAAAATAAAATCAGTACGGCTGATGGACATTGTACGAGTATTCAGTGGCGATATCGATTTGTGCGATGATCGTTTGTGCTACTGACACGCAGACGATTGGGTTTGTTTTGCTCAGTGCGTGTTCGATAGTTGCATCTGATAATATTTTCGCTGATTACGGATTATCTACTAATAAACTAATATTAATGAGGTTATAATTAGTTCCATATTTTCATAATTACAGAAGCCGATTCGAAGTGTATGTATGTCCTGACATTTTTGTTAAACTAAACGTTGTAAATTTATATATTTTTTTTATTTTTTTTATGAAAATGCAAAAATTAAAATTACTGTGCGACTTGAGAGACTCTTGTTCTTTTTTTTGAGTTTTATAATTTTCCGATGTTCTATGAAATTTTTTTTATTTACTAACTTTTGAAGGTTTCGTTTGGTCGTTTATAGTTTAAGGAATATATGGCGGGGTACAAAGGCCCAACTTGGCTTTCAGCAAAGCTATTTTGGAAACCATACAAATTACATCACAACAATAATTACTACATATTAAACAAACAACAAAGACTCAGAAAAAGTCTCAGCTGATTCATCATTATAGAAAATTTGTCACCTGGTTCTTGTTACCTCATAGGCGGGGTAAAATTGAACAGACAAGTAGCAAACAGATCCAAAAAATACTTAACTTTACTTGTTTTTGAGGTATCATTTATTGACCTCTTTACCCGCGGACCTTTAAGCCCCACTCACATTGCTTATTTGATGCACCGTATTTAAATATTATTAGAAAATATTTCTAATAAATAGTTTTTGGGTGGAGCAGAATTACGCAGCTAATTAATATATTACATTCATGAAAATTGAAAATGGTTTCTAATCTTAATTTTACTTTTTGTTTCAAAGATTTAATTAATACAGGTTTTCAACTATAGTAAATTTTCATTAAGCAGAACTTGAACTCTGAAGTCATGTTGTCATTTAATTTTCTTCAGAAATCTAAAGGCGTAGGCTGAACCACAGGGTTGTTTCTTATTCGTTAATTTAGAACGAAATATAATTATTAGATGCAAATGTATAATTCATGTATTCTAAAAGATATATATATATATATATATATATATATATATATAGATATTTATATTGATATGTAGTAAAATAGCGTCAGCCAATGCGTCGAAACAAAAAAATTTTGGTTTGAACTTTTTATGACCAGATGTGCTTCATCATTTAGCTAAAAAATTACAATATTTAGCACAAATAATTATAATTTTAAAGGTACAAAAGTGAGATTATACATACCAGACCTGAAGAGAAACTAACACTAAAATACAACTATTACAACTAACCTATTGAAAAATCCCTTAGCACTAATTGCAGGATAACAATAAAGTTAAAATGGAAACGCCCATTATAAAAATAAACAACTGCTTAGAAACATTTTTGAACATTGAGTTTATGTTACTACCCATGACCATGCAAACAGGAATAAGACTGAGCAAGGTAGACATTTTCTATATGTAGTTATGGAGGGCAAATAATCAGGGGTAAAGAGATAAATCAGATTTACAAACAATAATTAAATTTTGAAAAATGAAACAAGATTTAGCAAATCTTCTAATATCAACATTTTTTTCCTTATATAAAAGTATGGATGATTCGTATTAAAAGTTATGTTTGAAATTAATGATATGCACAGAGAACATGGTTTTATATTGTTAAAAATTTTTGAGTTGCAAATATGTTGATTCATTCTTTTTCTAAAATATTGAGAGCTTACTCCAATATGACATCTAGCAATCTAAAATGATCGTTAGACATATGTACATCAAATTATTAGATATTTTATAGAGATTTTAAACATTTGTACTAATTTTTATTAAAATTTTTTTGGGTTCCGTACCAAGATTTTTAATTTCTAAAGTTCACTTATACGGTTCAAATAAATTTCAAAATTTTCATATTTTTTCCAAACCAGTTTCAAAATTTCTAGACTTTAAATATGAATTTTAGATTCACAAATCAGTTTAAAAATGTATATATTTCATATGCTCGAATATTTATTTCTGATACGGAAAGTTCCAGCAATTTGCCTTAAGGCACGATGCCATACACCACTAGTTTTATAATAGTACACATGAATGTCATCACCTACATCCATTATCACATAACGCATGCACGTTTCGATTCTTTTTTGTAGTGTGTATTTCGTATACATAGTCTGCTCATGTTTTGTGTATTCAATCCGTGTCCGGTCGCATAGATGGGAGCAGCTACAGTCGTTCAGCTTGCAACACGAAAAACCCTACGTGTGAATTCAATCTTTTAAACCGGTCATTTTATATAAAAATTCAATTTAGTTAACGATTCCGTCTGTCACGTTCGGTTTGTCGCAGGAAACCTGATGTGCGCATTTGTAAATGTACCTACCTTCGAATGAGAACCTGAAATATATTCAGTGTTGTAATACACGCACGCTTTTACGCTATAGGTATATATTTTACGCTATATGGAAATTCTAAAATTATATATATATATATATATATATAACCACAAGGGGTGGTTGGGGATGTACTGTATGCGGTTACTATCCTGTAACAACAAAACACCCAGAAACTGACACCCTCAGACATAGTTTAGTAGTCTAATATTATTTTAGAAAATGCAGTTTTTCAAATTAGTATATAGTAGCGATACTGCATTTATTTGATTATTATTACAATTGAAAATACTTATACAATGATGAAATTAGGTGTAAGTTTCATTGTGCCTTAAGGCAAGTCTCTCTAACTTTCCGATATGTGCAGATAATTGATTAAATCAATAAAGATTTGATTTGTATATGATCTACCTGCCTAATAATTGTTTCCCTGTCAAAGTGTCTACCTATCCTTTTTTATACCTACCTACTTATCTATCTTTTTGCCTGTCCACGTATCCATCTGTTTACTTGCCTACCTGCTTACCAGTCGATCAGACAATTATACAGTCTACTTTTATAATTTTCTTCCTGTTTCAATAAACAAACTTTCGGCTTGTTTACATGACAAGGTTTCAACCTGTTCACTTATGTATCAGCATATCTTTCGATTCGTCTACTGGTACCTTTCTTCCTGTACTTGTACATGTAATTTCTTGTACAATTGTCGACGTGTTCCTGTCTACCAGTCCACATGTCTACCTGTAATCTGCATCAATATCTTTTTTTTTATATATATTTTTTATTTTTAACAGCAATCAGAACCTTACGTCCTATGAGCTGAAACTTCTCCTTACTTCGTATTTTTGGATGGTAACCCAATGGGTAATCCATCCATATTTGATGATTTTTGTTATTAGAATTAATCTAATAGCACTGACTTTTTATTGGTGCAGCAATGCCGGACAAGGGCTATTTTCACTTGGAAACATATGGCCATCTATATTTCCAAGTGAAAATCGTTGTCACTGTTGCCTGACAACAGGCTGCTCGAAGTGGGTATCGAACCCGGGACCTCTGAAACAAGTCCCGTCGCTCTTAACCGCTTACCTACGGGCGAGCCCTATATCAATATCTGTATCAATATTTCAACATAGATATATAATTAAAGAATAAAGGTTTGTACTGATCATTTTAGACTACCAAATGTCGATTTTATAACTATTTGCCCTTTAATTCCGAAATACCTGGATCTGTTTTCGAAAATATATCCAATTTTTATATCACCTTTTCATTATTCCACCATATTTGAAACTTCGAGTTATATTTTGTAGTCACTATGAAGAGAATATATGTCCTTTTGCCTATTTATTGCTTTGTTGTTAATTTGTATTATACAACTTCCAGCACAAAAAAAATTTTTTTTTAGTTATTCATTAAACCCTGATTTAATATTTGATTTATTGAATAGTTGGATGTAACCTTAGTTCAATCGAATTGTGATGTCCATACAAATGTATATTTTTGAGTAGTATTAAAGTTTTACCATAAACACTTGTGATTTCTTGAACGATGTTTTTAATTTTTATACCACTTGATGATGGAATGAACTTGTAGTGTTTAATCACTTAGTTCTCTTATTAGTACCATGCTTAAACTAACTTATATACAGGATTTTACATTTTATTTTATATTATGTTAAATATAATATACTTTGGTTCACTTCTTACAAATTTTCAGTCCGATTTACACATTTTCAGCAGTACTGTTTACAGTTTTATTCTTTGTAAATGAATGTGATATTTAAATGCAAAATGTCCATGAAATGAGGACGTAGTGATCTTTATATATATATATATATATATTAAATTTTTTATATATAATTTTGATGTTGAAATATGTGATATTCAGTTTTCAGGGCAATACATCAATTAAAAAAAATTGTATGACTTTAAAACAATTTTATTTTTTCCATACGTTTCGACACATTGTTTTGTGTCATCTTCAGTGGACTCTAGATTGAAAGAACAGATAGAAATTATTAAATAAAACTAAAATATAAGAAGTGATATGGTATGAACTTACATGTAATTGAATTAATCCTAATTATTGCATATTATAAATGTTCACAATGCACAATCCTAATTATATCATATTATAAATGTTATACATATAATTAGGATTGTGCATTGTGAACATTTATAATATGCAATAATTAGGATTAATTCAATTACATGTAAGTTCATACCATATCACTTCTTATATTTTAGTTTTATTTAATAATTTCTATCTGTTCTTTCAATCTAGAGTCCACTGAAGATGACACAAAACAATGTGTCGAAACGTATGGAAAAAATAAAATTGTTTTAAAGTCATACAATTTTTTTTAATTGATGTATTGCCCTGAAAACTGAATATCATATATATATATATATATATATATATATATTCACATGTACATTTACATAAATTCACATATAATAAATTTCTGAAAATATCAATAATAGTTATCTTTTCTTATATGAATCTCAGTTCATTAAGTTCATATCTTACATATTTTTTTGTGTTATTGTAATTTATATTTTTGTTAATTTTTTTAATTTGTCAGTTTAAATAGACTTATATTCAAATTAAGAAAAACATTACCTCGTGATAAAAATCAAAGTTATTTCCAACCAAATTTGTTCCATGCTTGTTCCCACATTTATTTCAGTTTCTGTTACACGAAGTATCAAAAACTATTGTCACTCGGTATCATAAGATGTGGCTGAAGATATGGCCAGAACGTGTGTAGTGTTTTCATGGCTATTATGTTCTTTAGTATGAAAAGAGCCCATTCTTCGATATTAGTCCAAGGGTTGCGTACGTGCGCAATCGTTCTAATGTTCGTAGCAGTTAACTGTCGCATTCGCATAAGCATTTGATTCTTTTCATTCGCGAAAAGGGTCAGTGTTCATATCACGCACATATCGATATACATTCGATTGTTATGGCCGAGATTTGGAGATCCAATCAGGAATTATTGATATTCAATAAAAGTGAATATATAAAAGCATATACATATACACACATATGAATGTAGGTCATGTGGAAGTGACTTTCAGTCGAGCACTATTTTGACTTATCTTCAGTGCATTAAAGTCAATTAAACAACTAACGGTGATTGTCAAAAATACCTAACCCTTCATATAACTATAACTGGAATGGCTACCAATGGCATCATAACCAATCAAATATGTCCATGATGCTGAAGACCGAGTATAAAACCTGGACTCGTTATCAAATATATTCACTTGTATTTTGACATCCAGGGAACAATCTAATGTAGTGTATATGTACAAATAAATATTTATAATATTTGATCGATCTGTGTTCACCTACATAATTACCGACACCGACAAACCTGATAGAAGCCCAAGCAGAGTTTTCGATCGCAGTGAATTGGAGAAATAACGGGATATTTCTTATGATCAAAATAATAGTAAGGTATATCACACATTTCAACAAGACTCAACAATAGTGAATCAAACAGGCACTATCAAAAGTAACGGTACTTTTTTATCAAGGATAATAAAGTTTTAAATGAATTATGTTATGAATATTTAGTAGTGTACTTTTATTTAAAAGTCTACTAGTGGGATTTTTTTTGCAAACATTTGAACAATTTGTATTGTGTGTATTGAATAATTATTAATGTATTTCAATTAAAATGTATTATTGTGTGCACTATAATCGAAAATGAGGAAAAAAACAAAAAACATGGAAGCAAATTACTCAACAATTGCCAACTCACCAGCGTCTTGCAATTATGCTGTTCATGTCATAGAAATAAAAGCCAGCTTTAATCCTGAAAGTTCTAGAAACATCAGATCCAGAAAACTACAAAACAAAAAAAATGGTTGAAGGTGAAATTTTGGCTTTCAACCTCTGGTATCAGCAGCGAGCTGGTGTACCAACTCTTCATATAACTACTACTGGAATATCAATCAATGATGTCATAATCAACCAAATATGTCCACAATACTAAGGACTGGGACTCGTTTTCAAATACATTCGCAAAATTAAAAACTATAAGACTGTCTACTGCTGAACTATCTATCTCTTGATACACTATTAATTTACCAGGTGTTGATAAAACCAATATGGATTTATAGCAGCTAATTGTGGGATTTTGCCAGCAAATCAATCATTGTGTTAATGCGACGTGCCCAGTCTAAAATTTTAATTCATGCTTTAAGCAATAAGACCTTAACATAGAATTTATTTATATTTTTTATTATATTTTTAACAGCAATCAGAACCTTACGTCCTAAGAGCTGTTGGGCTAAAACTTCTCCTTCCTTCGTATTTTTTAGATGGTAGCCCAATTTAGATTGATGATTTTTGTTATTAGAATAAATCTAATAGGGCTGACTTTTTATTGGTGCAGCAATGCCGGGCAAGGGCTATTTTCACTTGGAAACATATTGCTATGAACAGAGAATTTATAGACAGAGTAATATAAATAAAGTGTTCAACATTTCCAAAAACTGAAACATCATTAAAATTCAATAAACACTCAGCTTTTTGAGAAACCAATTTCAAGAAGACTAAAAAGGAATCTTCTCAAAGATAATAATGAAGACCTTTAGCACTACCACATCTTTGTAGAAATGTACAGAATTGGTGAATCACTCATTGGAGTAATTTTTGAACTATCTATATAGTAAAATTTATCACAAGAATTTATATGTGTGTTTGAAAGTATAAGTTCTTTACTATATTTATAAATAATAAATCAATATTTTGTTTAACACAATTTCGTAAAATTTGTTATCCACATTTTCTTTCAATAAATTTTAAATATTAATGGTCTAGAATCTAGATAATAAACTTTTTTTATAAAAAATCAGATGTTATCATTAATATGGAGATTTTTTATAAAAAAAAGTTCATTTGATAAATGGTAAAAAATATGTTCAGAACATATTAAATGATCATAATAAGTAAATGATCATAATAGATTGATCATTAATAGAGATAAAGTTTATAAAATCATATTCTCTGTTGTTTCAGTGAACGTAGTTGATGGTGAAATTCTATTTATTACCAAAGTTAGTCGCTTGCACATGGCGGCTTATCTCTGTGTTGCTTCAAATGGGGTACCTCCTTCTATAAGCAAACGAGTTCAACTTCGAGTTCAATGTGAGTATTCAAACTTTGTATTTATTTTAAAAATATTATTTAGTGCAACACATTTGCATAACTATATACTATATTTAAACAGTCATAACTCTAATCCATTTATTTAATAAACCCTGTTCAAAATATCGATTATTTAAATACAATATATAAAATACAAGTACCTTTATCTGCTACTAATTGGGTTAGGCGACACGACTTGAGAATCAAACCCCTATATTCAATAAATGACATTTTGAGTTTTGTCTATCTTTTTCAAATATTTTTCTTAATATTTGGCACCCCTGGTTGACTCTCATTTCGGCAATTTTTTTAAACCGATTACATATATGTATGTAATTTGCAGTTCCGCCGATGCTATCAATCCCCAATCAGCTCGAGGCGGCTTTTCAGGGGCAAGACGTCACATTGGAGTGTCACACGGAGGCTTATCCGGCCTCTATCAATTATTGGACCACAGAACGAGGGGATATGATTATATCAGGTTAGTCAATCTTATATACGTGTATTTTGCATTGATTTTTTATTATATAGAACATAAATTGATGTATTATCTTCATTTATTTTTGTGAATCATAGAAATTAATCTGTAAGGACCTCCGACTGTAAACTAATAGAAACTCAAAAATATTTCATTACAGAACGTCAATATTAGTTACTTATAACAACTCAATAGATATGAACAAATTATACAACTACATTTAATAAAACCCGATCAATGGATTTATATAGTTAATGCATTTTATCTAGCAACATTTTGTACTTTCTTTTTTTATTTTTTATAAACTTCTCTAAATATATTAAATCTCGGTACAAAATATGGGTTCTAAAATATCGTATATGAAAAAATTAGATTTTATTCTTTTATTCCAATACTTTTAATTGATAATTTTTCGATTAATAATAAATAGAAATGCAATATGTATATAATTATTTCACTTGTTAGCCATTGAATTGCGATTAGATTTGGAGTGGGATCTCCATCATTAATATGAATAATATAAATAAATTATAAATAATAATAATATAGTAGTTATTTATATAATATTTTATTTTCATAAATCATTATATAAATAATACAAGCTCTTATAAGAAACTTTTCAGTTCTACATTCTTTGGTAAATCATATCAGATTACTAATTTCAGCTGTTTTTAATAAATATATAAATTAGTATAGTTTTCCAAAAATTGATAATAATATTGATATAAATTTAACAATATATTCGGCTTTCATCAGCGGTTATTTTTATCAGTTAAAGAATTTATTAATATAGCTGTAAATGGTTTTTAAGAATTTGCATTATGAAATTTATTTCTGTAGTTATTATTTGCATATAAGTACTCATACAGGAATAATTTTTATTAATTAATGTCTCTGTCAGGAACAAATACTTTGATGATAATGACGACACAAATGACGATGTTAATCGTAATAGGAGCCTAATACATAATTACATATGATTATTAATATTTATATCTGATTTTATGATAAAAAATTTGCTTAAAAACCTGCAAGGTAATTGAATTCAATTATTCATTATTCATTATTCAAGGTCAGGCAACTACAATAATCTTTTTTCCAGACATTCTGACATATATTTTTATGTCATCCTCAATTGAAATTTTATTAAATAAGTCAAATAACTGTCAAAATCTAAAATTCCAGACATTTTGACATATATTTTTACGTCATCTTCAATAGAAATTTAATAATAAGTGCTCTGAATTTCATATCTACAAGACTTTTGATTTGATTTTCGACTATTAATATAAACATCATTAATAATTTATATTTTTTTATTTATCTTATCTCTTCAATAAATTAATCTGTTTTCACATTTGTTGATTTTAGTTTGCGATCGCGCACTCCATTTGATTACATTATAATAATACCCATCCTGTCTCTCGTCTCGATACTTGATTTGTTTAAAATATTTCTGTATGTTTCACATGTTTTAGTACTGTATCGTATAGAAGTAACTGTTTTTGAAATTTCACTGAAGATGAGGCAAATACCATGGTCTCGAAACGTCTGTAATTATTAAATGAAGTTGTGTTAAAAATATGAGTATTGTATTGTTCATATTTAACATTTAATTTTCGTTCCACTCATATCACAAAATTCTATAAATATATATATATATATATATATATATATATATATATAAATGTATAATTTAAACTATTGAATTTTCATATAATCAAAATGATCATATTACTACAACCAAATTGTGTATTAAAATCTCAATTAAATAGGAAGTAGAGCACGGAGGATAAAACAATTCAAAGTCTTTATGATATCATTAAGAAATTCTGACCGAAACAATAGAAAAATAATCTGAACCAAATGCACTAGCAATTTACTATATAAGATAATAAAACCTCGCTAATCTATCTCGCGCAATTTTGATCCGTTCATCAAATCTTTTGCTCGGTCGGCAATAAAAAACAATTCGATGCGGGAGTATTATTCTTCTTCCATTGGGAATGAAATAGAGTTCGCCATAATTCAGACGATTTAAAAAGTGCATTACCGAAATCGATATAAAACGACCGATGCACGGACTAAGCCCTTCTGTATTTGTGACAGGGATTGATTTCTAATGAGAATTTATGTTTGATTCCAATTTAGATGGTTATTTCGAATTTATAATGAATTTTGTAATCCCATCTGAGATCCTTTCTCGAGTCATTTTATATTTTTTGCATATCATCTGATTACAGAAACTATTAGGGGAAAGTCCCCTAGTGGCGGATACCTAAGGTTATTTATAAATAAATAAAAAAATATTTTACGAAATGTTTATTATATTATGATTTATGTTAGATAACTAAGTTTGAAACTAAATTAACAAAACCGCAATCTTTGCTAAAAAATAATTAATACTATCAATCAAACTTTGGTATCAAAAAATATAATTTTAAACAGTGGCACCTAGTACCGTACATTTCAAAATAACCTGCATTGATCACATATGTAGCCATCTCCACACTTTGGAATGTTTGTCTCACATGTCTATGACAAATTTTCTCAGATATTGTAAAAAAAAATCACTATCTATCCACCCTTTTGGCTGGATTTTTTGCTGGATTCATCATAAGATTTTCATTTTTTGACTAGGAAATACGAATAATGGGGATATGTAGTCACCGTTAGCACTGGGGTAACGGTGGCTACATGTGGGGTGGCCTGTGTGCCCTCCATGCCCCATTCACTTGTATTTTGAAATGAAAAGATTTATAGTTGCTTAAATAATACGTGTTAAATAGAGTGTTCGGTGCTTGGTGCCGTCCGGCGTTACGGGACTTTCCCCTAATATTACTATACTTTGCTATTTCTAATTTTAAGTATTGGACTGTTTTATTATATTATAGATTGATATTAGAGCAGCTACTATCTATTATTACTATATATTATAAAGAATATTACATTTGTATAAGTCTTTTTCACTCATGTAATCGCTAAAATTTTGCATTGTATTACTAACATTGTTTATAGAATATTCCAACTAATTTCGAGGACATAAATATCCATATTTTATTAATAGGGCTTTGGTATTACTAATTACTAATTTGTTCACTATTTATTTTCTTAATTCAAATATTTGTTTATATTTGCATGCACCAATCTGCTGTAATTATATAGAATTATAATCATTAATAATTTATACTATATTTGAAATGCAGTGAATAATAACTTCAGAAATTGGATTTTGTAGTTGTAATTTTACAAATTTTGTCTTTGCAATTTTTTTTGTTATAAAATAAACTTATTTTTTTATTTAAAAACATTTATTTGAATATTTTTTGATTGATGTAATTACTTATTATAGATTGTGATTTAGTTTTCACAAAATAAATGATCAAAGTAAAACGGATCTTTGTGCCCCATTCTACTCTATCCAAAACAAATAAAAATGCATTTAATAGAAGTGCAAATTATACCTTTAATTAGTTTCAAAAGAAATTATTCAATATTTTTGGAATTATAGGATAATCATACAAAAGCTACGAACTACAAAATATTTAAAATATATGTACGAAATTTTTAAATGTAATAACTTAAATTGAATTAATATAATAAATCAGTTATTTAAACTCGTTCAATTGAATTGTCCAACCCTGTATTACGAATCCGAAATGCATTTCCTTGATAGCGTCCGCCGGCGACAAAAAATCGTAACAGTTTTCTCTGTTTTTTTCAATTTTCTCGGCATGTTTTTCACCGTTCGGACACATGTGCATCGGTTCTTGCACTATAGGGCAGGCCAGACTTTAATGCGATTGCTTCCTTCGGTATTTTTTTATTCCTACCAACCAAGGTTTAGTTATAATGTAATGGATAGTGATTAAATTTCTTGTCAGCCACAGGGATCTGACTGATTTTCCTTGTTTTACTAATGCGTTTGTTATAATGGATTCTTTCAGGTTTTATATAGAGCTTGTTTGATCTTTAATATCTTTGAAGGTAATGTTGTAGTTTTAATTATTTTTATGAAAGACGCATATTGAACAACATGGAATATCAAGGAATAGAATGGTTTGAGATAGAAACATACATTAGCGATATGCCAGTATACTACATACTGAAATTTCGTTTAAAATTTCTTAAAAAAGTTAATAAAATTAAAATTATTGACATCAAGAGTGATATTTTTTAATTGTAATGGTTATTCATTGATCATGATATTATGAGATTAATTGTGAATATAAAAGAAAGAAACATACATTAGCAATTTGCATCAGAACATACTGGGATTTCAAGCATTTTATGTTACCTATAATTTGTAATCAGTGAAAAGTTTTTCAAAAATTTAATAAAATTGAAATTATTGACATCAACGGTCATATTTTTAAATTTTTAATAATTATTCGTTGTCAGAGAAGATGTATAATATCTCATTCTATAATATATTCTGTAATTTGTGATTAGTGAATAGTATTTTCTAAAAAAATCAATAAAATTGAAATTATTGACAAGTCATTTTTTTTCAATTTTAATTGTTATTCATTGATTATGATCAAAACATAATTATTTATCAAGTCTTGAGCGACTTGATAAAATGACTACTGAAACCTGTAATTTGGATGTAAAAAATATAAAAAGAAAGTATTCAATCTAAAATCCTTTCTTGAGATATTGTACATATTTTATCCACTGTAAACCTGCATATCATCTGATTACAGAAATTATTTTATATTTTGAGTACTAAATAGTGTAAAAGACTATACGTTATTGTTTCTAATTTTAATTATTCGACTGTTTTATTATATTATGCTATATTATGTGAAGACAGATTGATTTTCAGCTAATATCCATTCTTAGTTGACATTATAAAATCTATCACGTTTATATAGGTCTTTTACTCATATAATCCCTAAAATTCAGCAATGTACTACTAACACTGTTTATTAAACATTTCATCTAATTTTGAGGACATAAATATCCAAATTTTATTAATAGAGCTCCGGTATTACTAATTA